ACAAGACCGGTTAGAGCCTGCTTTTACGTATCAGGAGATGCTATGCTAACAGCTCAAAAAGTTGTCTAACCCCCATGTCTTCCCCTGACTGAGTCCTTAGCACTGGCCAAGATGCTCCCGTCCTCTCAAGCTTATTGGGGAAAGATTTCTCAGTGACTTTCTGTGCAAATATATTGTTCAGCTTCTTTCCAGAATTTTTTGGAAAAAGCATGAAACATCTATGTGAGTGTATACATATGAAATGATAAATCCCTTCCAGGAATCCTAGTTCTCTTCAAGTAATTTCTGTAGGGTTTTTTTCCTTTTTCTTTCAGAAACAATATTTCAGATTCTCTCAATTTCGCATCCTAGGAGTCCTTTGCCTTGCCTAAGGATCCTTGCCTAAGGATCAACCTCTCACCATTCAAATAGAATGACCATAACCTCCCCTCCTACTTTAACTTTCCTTCATTCTAATAGGGAAACGTCTCTCTCTCTCTCTCTCTAGTCTGAGGAAAAGATGCCACTGAAGTTTATTTTTCAGAAAATAAATAGAGGAAGTATGACATAAAAGGAATTGAATGACTGGGGGGTGGGGTGGGGGATGTGTGCTTTTTTCTCTCAACCCCATTGTTCTGATTGCTTTTTAACTTCTCAATTCCTTCTAAATTCCTTTGCAATATTTCTCTCCAGGCCCTTTTGCTTCTCTCTGATTGTCATCACAGATGAAGACTTCATTAGCCATACGATGTATTCCTGTCCAAAGAGCTCCTGCTTTTAAGTCCAACCTCCATCCTTTAGGCAGCAACTCTAGCCAACTTCCTCTGATTCAAGTAAGAACAATACCCGTCTCTATCTCCTTGCCACCCCATCCTGTGTTCTTTGTATTTGTCTCTTGGATTCAAACAGGATCTTCCCCTTCTGAAGCCCTTCAAGAAGCAGCAGAATTGCTACCACCCTTCTCTATGAAGTGATGAAAGGAAATCGCGGCCAAGACGCAGCCGGACTCCGGGGTCCGCGCCGGCGCCAGGCCCAGCCCCGCCCGGGCAGCTCGGGCTCGGGCCGGGGACTACGACTCCCGGCAGGCCGTGCGGGCACGCCCACTGCCCGCAGCCCCGCCCACGCGCGTCTCCGCGGCCTTCCGGGGGTGGGGACTGGAGGGGAGGTGGCCATGGGGCTGCGGCCGAGGTTTTTCCCCTCCTCGGCTTCCGTAGACGGAGTCGGGCGGACCCTCTGGGGCTTCGGTACCCCCCTTCCCCTTCCCCGGGGTCCGGGGGTGACATTGCACCGCGCCCCTGGTGGGGTCGCGTCGCCGCCCCCACGCGGACTCCCCGGTGGCGCGCCGCTCCGTCCTGCGCCTGCGGCCGGGGCTCCTCCCCCGCTGCCCAGCCATGGGGGCTGCGGTGTTTTTCGGATGCACTTTCGTCGCCTTCGGCCCAGCCTTCGCGCTTTTCCTGATCACTGTGGCTGGGGACCCTCTCCGCGTTATCATCCTGGTCGCGGGGTGAGTAGCGGGTGGTCGAAGAGGCGTGAGAGCGTCGAAGAGAAGCGGAAGGGGCTGGAGGAGCTGGGCGAACCCCGGCCCCGGGCTGGACGGTCGGACGCGGTCCGGGCGGTCCGCCCCTCCCGGCGGTCGGTCTCCGCCGTGCAGCGACCGCAGATTTCCTCCTGTGCGCTCCCGGCGGGACCGGGCGGCCCAAGGCCGAGACTCCTGAGGGGCTGTGCTGACCTCGGCTGGCCGAGCCCGGTCCCTGCGGGAGGAGCCAGGCGTGGACACTTCACCCTTCAGGGCTCTGATTCTCATCTCTTTGAAGACTGTGTGACCAGATTTATACCCCTTCCCTACATCCAGGTTCCTACAGACGAGTTCCTTGGTGCAGACACCCACCCTATCTAGTCCCTGCTCTCTGACCATCCAGAAGTCTAACTTCCATTTTTCATGCTGCAGCCTTGGCTGGTTCCCTTCCTTGATTTCTCTGGCTGCCCTTACCCTTGCGTGTCTCATTGCCCTTGTCTTTTCTCAGGGCATTTTTCTGGCTGGTCTCCCTGCTCCTGGCCTCTGTGGTCTGGTTCATCTTGGTCCATGTGACAGACCGGTCAGATGCCCGTCTCCAGTATGGCCTCCTGATTTTTGGTGCTGCTGTCTCTGTCCTTCTTCAGGAGGCCTTCCGCTTTGCCTACTACAAGCTGCTTAAGTAAGAAGATGGGGTGGTCTGGAGGGAAGAGGGGCAGAGGATTGCACTGTGGGAAATGGGGCAGCCCTTGGGTGGTGGTTTGTAAGAGGCACCGCGGGAAGACATTAGAGGGAAAGGAGCATTCCTGCTCTCCCTCATGCTTCCCCTACTCCACCTCATCCCAGGAAGGCAGATGAGGGGTTAGCATCGCTGAGTGAGGACGGAAGATCTCCCATCTCCATTCGCCAGATGGCCTATGGTGAGCGGAGGGAGAGGGACCTGCAGAGGGAGTTGGACATCCCCCTCCCCTAGGGAAATCTCCAAATATCCACATATTCTGAGTGACTTCTTTTTTCCCTTCATACCTGATTCCAAGGAGAGGTGGTCTGGAGGGAGAGTAGGTGTGGGAGAAATGTAACTGGGAATGGGGAGGAGGTCATTGGTAATGAGGCTCTAGTGATTTCTGACATTGATGGCACCCTCCCTCCCCACAGTTTCTGGTCTCTCCTTCGGTATCATCAGTGGTGTCTTCTCTGTTATCAATATTTTGGCTGATGCTCTTGGGCCAGGTGTGGTTGGGATCCATGGAGACTCACCCTATTACTTCCTAACTTCAGGTAAGGCTCACTTCTAATCTTACCTTCATGTCCCATTTATCCCTGGCCCTGATCTGATTTATTGGCCTTCCCTGGGAGACTTCTTTGGCTCCACATCTCAGGAGGCTGGGAGAAGATCAGGGATGTCTCATCCCCATCTTCCTCCCTGCAGCCTTTCTGACAGCAGCCATTATCCTGCTCCATACCTTTTGGGGAGTTGTGTTCTTTGATGCCTGTGAGAGGAGACGGTACTGGGCTTTGGGCCTGGTGGTTGGGAGTCACCTACTGACATCAGGACTGGTGAGTTGGAGATAGGGGCCAAGTTAGGCAGAAAAGCATTTAATGGCAAGTGGGATGGGGGTATGTGTCCTCTCTGAAAATTTCTGATTTACATTGGGCAGAGGCAGAAAGGTGAGTCTCTACAGCATTAGTTATGTCACCTGCTCTGAGGATGCTCTGGGGAAGAGTTTGAACGGATTAGGCAAACTATAATGCAGAGGGCCTGAGATGAGTGGCAGTCGTCGTAATCTTTGAGGGAGTTGAAAATCAAATCCCTTTAACCACAAGATGTTGGTGTTCTGAAGGGAAAGACTGGGGAATGTGAGTAAGATGTCTGGGGGAGGCTTGGGTTAGAGGTACAAAGAGAATATAGGGATTAGTCAGGGAAAGAATCTAACTTCTTTTATACTCTTACCCTCATTCTCAGACTTTCCTGAACCCCTGGTATGAGGCCAGCTTGCTGCCCATCTATGCAGTGACTGTTTCCATGGGGCTCTGGGCCTTCATCACAGCTGGAGGGTCCCTCCGAAGTATCCAGCGCAGCCTCTCGTGTAAGGACTGACTACCTGGAATGATCGCCTGACAGATCCCACCTGCCTGTCCACTGCCCATGACTGAACCCAGCCCCAGCCCGGGTCCATTGCCCAATTTCTCTCTCTTCGTTGGTCTACCCCAACAACCTTCAGGGTTTTGCTTTGTCCATTTGTGACCTTTAGTTTCTGAGCTTCACCAGGAGTAGCCTGGGTTCAGCCAGTCAGTGACTGGTGGGTTTGAATCTGCACTTATCCCCACCACCTGGGGACCCCTGTGTTGTCCAGGAATCTCTATGTGTCAGTGCTCTGCTCTCACCCTGCCCATGACTCACCCCCCTTCCCCTCTGCAGGCCGACGGCAGGAGGACAGTCGGGTGATGGTGTATTCTGCCCTGCGCATCCCACCCGAGGACTGAGGGAACCTGGGGGGGACCCCTGGGCCTGGGGTGCCCTCCTGATCTCCTCGCCCTGTATTTCTCCATCTCCAGTTCTGAACAGTGCAGGTTGCCAAGAAAAGGGACCTAGTTTAGCCTTTGCCTGGAGATGAAATGGATGGAAGCTCAAGGGTAGATGATCTCTGAGTTTTCCAGTACCCCCCTCCCCAGACTGGACATCTTGGTCTTTTTCTCAGGTCTGAAGGGAACCATTTTTTTGGTGTGATAAAGACCCCAAACTGCCTTTTACTTTTTTTTAAGTGGAGGGAGGGAGGAGGTATGTTGGAACTCTCCTCACCTCCTTGGGCTATATTTTCCCTCCTCAAATTGTTCCTGTGGCTGGGCTCATTTCTGTCCCCTTTCTCCTTGGTCCCAGGCCCTGGGGGAAAGGCAGGAAGTGCATGTTTGGGAACTGGTATTACTGGAACTAATGGTCTTAACCGCCTTGGCCACCAGCATCCCTCCTCTCCCCAAGGTGAAGTGGAGGGTGCTGTTGTGAGCCGGCCACTCCAGAGCTGCAGTGCCACTGGAGGAGTCGGACTCCAGGACATCCCAGGGAAGGAGGGTGGGTTTTTTTCTAGTTTTTAATTGGGGTATGGGAGGGGTGGGGAGGTTTTCTATAAACTGTATCATTTTCTGCTGAGGGTGGAGTGTCCCATCCTTTTAATCAAGGTGATTGTGATTTTTGACTAATAAAAAGTACTTTATAATTGTGGGGGAACTTGACTTCTAAGGGAGGGAATGATATATTAATTGAGATTTCTGCCCCCCTGTGCCTCTTGTCCAGTCTTCTTCCTGACCTGGCAATCCCTGATCTCCAAGCATCACTTGGGTGCAAGGGCAGAAATCTGAGCTGGTGGTTTAACATGTTGGACGTCCCCTTTCGGGGGTGGGATAAAAGGACTTAGTCGCCCAGGCTTCTTTTTCTATGTCCTTTGCCTGTCTCTACCACCTGAGGGATTAAGGACCTCTCCCACTCCCAGGAACCCTAAAGGATAGGCCAGAATTAAGGTCAGAAACTTTAATTTCCAATTATACTGAACAAAAATATGTAACCCCAGCAGCAGCCCTTTTTCCATGGAGGAGATCCTGCAGTGTATCTAGGGGAAGGGACAAAAAGGCGAGGGGTGGAGACTTGGGGCACATCTTCAACTTCACCTACAGCTGAACATAGTTTGCCCGCTGTGTTAATACACGGGGATCTCCTGGTGTCCTCCTACATGTTTGAGAGGCCAAAGGCTAAAGGCTCTGCTGTTCTTCCTTGAATGAGAATCTCGTCCTTACCTCTGCGTGAGAGATGTCCAGAAAAGGAGGGGTGTCTGCCTACAACTCCTAGTAGTATTTTCTGTCCAGCCCCTGCACCCCACTTTAGAGGCTCCCCGACAGGCACAAAGGGAAGGCATCTGTGATGTCTCGGAACTTATGCTTCCGTGGTGGCTTGTGCTGAAGTGAAGACCACACTCTTCCGGTTTCCCAGCCTCTTCTTTCTGGAAGGGGGAATAATTGTTCATGGGAGTGACGAGTGTCCTCAGTGAAGCAATTAGAGGTGGAATATGAGAATACTTTTTGAAAGAAAGGACTGCAGGAATGGAAAGTAGGACCTCACCGAATCTTTCTAACGATGAAATAAACGGCCAGCAGAAGGCAGAGACAGCCAATCAAGATTCCCACACCTAAACTCAGCATTTCACCTGCGGGAGATAACGATGGAAGGTGTCAGCCTAGGACTAACATTGAACTTTCCCCCGACTTGCTGAGGTCCCCCCTGTCTCTTATTCCTGGGTAGGGCTCTCTTACCTGTGGTGTACAAGGATCCCACTGTAGAGGAAGAAAACTTGGGTCAGTGGGGCTTCAGAGTCCATCCCAACTGTAAGCAGCCCACTGCCTTTATGCCTGGGAAAATCACCTGGGCACCCAGGGCTGGGGGTGGTTCCCAGTCCAAGTAAGTACTGGAAACCCCTTCCCCTCTTAGCTTTTTCTGTCTCAGGTGTTCCCTAGTTCCTGTCATTGAATCCCTGATTTCCCTTCTCTTCTGAGCCTTGGAGAGTCACCTTGGGTGAATGAAGCAAAGACAGTCCGCTGATTGAGAGGCTGGGGAGCTCTATAGTTCTGTATGAGGGGCTCAGAGGGCTCCTCTTCTGCGGAGAACAATGTCTCCTGAAGCTTTTCCAGCTGAGAAGAGTGGGAGAAGTCACTTTTGGGATGGGAAAGGGTCTGGAGTTAAAATTTTCTTCCTTTACCTCTTCATTACTCACCTGTCCCATTGAAATCTGGGCCCTTCGATTGAAGACTGTCCAGAGCACACTTTGGTAGCAGGGAGGAGTTGTGAGTGAGCCATTGTAGCGAAAGAACTGCTCCAGCTGTGGGGGGAGCAGCTCTCCCACATTGAAGGGAGGCACTGAAGTCTTCTGATCTGGGGAGAACAGACTAGGATTCATCTTGCTGTACTCTGACTTACCTAGACAGGGTTCCCAAAGCAAAACCCACAGGCCCTGAAATTGCTGCCTCCCCAAACCTCTTAGGTCTTTTTTTTTTTGGTTAGGGGGAGGCTACCGGGAAATGAACTCAGGGGCACCTGACCGTTGAGCCTCATCCCCAGCCTATTTTGTATTTCATTTATAGAGAGGGTCTCACTGAGTTGCTTAGCACCTTGCAGGTGCTGAGTGAGGCTGACTTTGAACTTGTGATCCTCCTGCCTCATCCTCCAGAGATGCTGGGATTATAGGTGTGTGCCAGCAGGCCCAGCCTAGGTCATTTTTTATAAGTATTCCTAAAGTCTAATCTCACTATAGATTTTTAGTTCTCACCTTTATGTTTTATCTCATGCAAATGACTCAGAATGTGTTCATAAGCTGGATTCTCAGTCTCACCCACCTGGAAGGGGAGGAAAAGGAGAGAGTGTGGAATGAGTCCGTGTTGGGAGTGAGACATTTATGTACAGAATAGATGGTCAGGAGGTATTGTTGCCTGTGGTTAGGAAGGAGGCTGGCAATGAAATAGGCCTAAGGGACGCAGAGGAAGTGGAAAGAGAGCTGGGAGGGACTGGGGGCCACTGACCTCAATCAGGATGCCTAGTACAGCTAGCCCCTGAGGCCTCTGGGCAGCCTCACTCAAGCTGCCATAGGAATCGGAGTCATAATGCACCATGTGGAGCTGAGGGAAGGGAGAGGGATGGAATCATTTAATGCTTTTCTACCCCATTCCCTCCAAGGCCTTGACCTATCCACCACTGCAACCCCCATCGTGCTCCAAATCTGTCCCCCATCACTTGTCCTTGTTCCCCCAGTAGGGCTTTGCCTAGTGTGCAGATTCCTTCCCCAGAACCAGTCATCCCTGTGCCATCCCTTGTGTCCTAGTCCGAGCTCTTTGTTCTCTGATACCTCTGCGGCCGTGGCTTCACTGTTGATCTGGTGCTCTGAGCCCCCTGGGGATCCTTTCTGACCCCAGTGCAGGTGGAGCTGGGCAGCTGCATATTTTCGGGGCAGTCCGCCCAGATACAGGGTTGGGGGCAGAGAGAGTTGCACTGTGAGGAAAAGAGCAAGTTAGAGTTGGTGGAGGAACATGGGTCATTCTCACCCGTGGTTGCCACTTCTTGGGAGATAATTCCTCCCATAGACCAGTGCTTTTGTAGCACAGCTTGCCTGTTCTCAATGAGGTCGGCCCATCAGGCTTGATCAGAGACATTTAGCTCCCACCTTGATTACAGGAGCCCAATCCTCATTCTTATATCTCCAAATTCATGGACGGAGCTTTCTGAAAACTTGTGTTATGAAAATACTTCTTTCTCTTGGCCCCTAAGATTTGAACTGGAGATCTGAACTGCTGGGAGCCTAGGTTTTTACCTGTGTGGCCATTGTTGTGCAAGTCCAAAGGCTCAGTTCCAGGCTGATCGTATCCGTGGGGCTGCAGAGCAGGCAACTCGGGGTCAAATGTCACACTGTCTGTCTGGATATCGATGGGGGACTGGGCATTGCTTCCACACTCAGGGTAAGAGGCTGGCCAATGGTCCTGACCATGTGGGCCTGGTGGGGGTAACCATGGATATTTGTCCTGCCCTCCAGCCCCAGCCATCCTCCAACACACCCCTGCCAGGTTATCCATCTGTGCGCAGGTAGAAATGCACTTGCCCCACCCGGGAGAGACAAGTAGCAGTCCCACTGGACTCTACACTGCCGTTCCCCTTGCCTACCCAGAGGCAGAGATGACTCCCCAGTTACCCTGGTACATGTGAAGTGGTAGCTCGTACCTGTAGTTTGAGGACAAGAAATCTGAATGAGGGGAAGAGGAGATGGATAGATAGCCTGAATGCCCAGAGAGGTAGAATTAGAGTAGGAATGATAAAATGAGGGGAAATAAATGATCCTAGAGAGAAGGTCTCCTTGGAGTGCCCTATTAAGTAGTCTTGGAATTCAGCTAGCTATCTTGACTTTGTCATTTCTTGCTCTCACACTGAAATTCGCACTGAGACTGGAGTTTTGTTAAGTCGTTAATCAGAAGTTCAGAGGGATCGAGTTCCACCTCCCCTAAGGTCACAAACTAACCTGCTACTCTTCCTCACTCCTCATCTCAAGCTCTGTCCCAGTTCCAGAAGCAGGTTGGGAATAGGACTGAGAAGAATGCAGAGCGCCAAGAGAACAGCCGCTAAGCTCCGAGATCCTCTCCCCACCCACTTTTCTTTCCACGCCAACTCCCTCACTCCCACACGGATTTATTGAGGACTCAACTGACTTTTATGCTGAATCAGGAGGTGTGGGATTTAACGATTACAACAGGGTCTACAAATCATACATGCACAACCCAGGCCAAGGGGAGATGGGGAAGGGAGGGTTAGTGTGCAAAGCTGAAGGAAACTGCTCCCCACCCCAGGACAAGTCTTCCTGCAGGTGAGGAGGTCCCAGGGTTAGAAGGGTGTTGACAGGCTGCCTGGAGTTCTGTTCTCACCTTCATATGTCCAATGGTGACCTGCAAGACAGAGTAATTTGGGTTACAACCCATGCAGACTGGGGCAGCGGGTCACATGGCTTCCACCCTCCCTTCCCAGGGGCCCTTGGTACCACTTCCCCTCCCCCTCCGCCTTCCACTCCACTTCCCAAAGGAAGCCCTGAAACCGGACACCTCAGCCGAAAGGTGGTGGTGGGGGAAGGGGGCTATTTAAAATCACAGCCAGGCTCAGCTGGTGCTTGCTGAGTAAAGGAGGAAGGGGAATGGAGAGAGAAAGCCTGGAGACTAAAATTAACTTGGGTCTAAAAGTGCCGTCCGTCGGCCCAACCCTCACTCCAGCCCGGGCCAAGTCAATCTAACAGAAGATTGGGGTGGGGCGAGGTGAGAATATGGGCAGAGGGTTTGGAGGAAAGGGACCAGAAAAAGAAGAAGGGAAAGAATTTTGCTGTTCTGCATGTGTGTTGGGTGGGGGGCTGCTACTGAGAGCAGAAGGGAGAATTATTCTTTTGCCTTGAAGCACTGCATAAAGGAAGGCACTGATCTGTAAATTAACACTGAAATTCTTCCCTTCTGATCCCACTAGTTCTAGAGGAAACTCCCCATTACCTGGAACCTCTGCTTCCCAAGATCCCTGCTGTCTCTGGAGAGGTGGGAGTCAAGGCAGGGTCTACTCTAGGTTGAGGGTGGTGGGTGGGCATAGGCAGCCAGGCTGGCAGGGACAGGATGAAAATGAAGCATTGTGTGTAAAAAGGAGAGCTGCCAGCGGGTCACATGCCAGGCTCTCTGCAGGCTCTCGTGCAGTCCTGTCTCTGGCTGACAGGCTGGGGGTCTGCTGGCCCAGCCCCACACAGGGCCAAGCTGCTTCAAGGGGAAGAGGGAGGCCTTGCGGATTTTTGCTGCAATATTAAAATGGCCAGAAACTCTGGGGAAAACCCTAAACTCTTTCCCGCTCTCAGACGTGTAAGAAGTCTTGGATCTCTTCACGCCCTCAGCTCGGACAACTTTGAAAAGCAGCCCAAGAAACGGCTGGAGGCAACCTCTTATTCACCAGCTCTGTGGGCCACCCCAACAGAGGGAATCCCCTGGGGCCCTTTTCCCCCATCAAATCCTCAACACAGTCAGTCTACACCCCCTTTCTTTCCCTATTTTTTTCCTTTCTCCTCAGATGAAATTTTGGCTCGTCTGTTCTGTTACCCTCTTCATTCTTCTGCTCCCTAGGCAGCTCTTTGCCTTGTTCTAAGAAAGCTTCATTGCAGGCCTACTGTGTGCTAGGCATGAGAGAGACACAGAAGAGAGGTGTAGGTGTCCTGGGGACACTTCTGGAACACCTCATCTCCTGGGAGTTCCTGAAAATCCACCTTAAACTGTAAAGGGTCAAACAGATATTGACTATTTTTACTAGTATTCTCAGGGGGAAACTAGGAAGTCAGTCTCTCCATAGAATCAAGAGAGGGGGGCCGGAGTTGTGGCTCGGCGGTAGCGCGCTCGCCTAGCACGTGTGGGGCCCTGGGTTCCATCCTCAGCACCACATAAAAATAAAATAAAGGTATTGTGTCCAACTACAACTCAAACAAAGTATTTTTTTTTTTAAAAAAGAGGACTTCAGCTGTGAGGTGATCAGGCGATCAGCTGGAGTTCAGGGTCTGAGCTGGGCTGGCCTTGTTAGATATGTCCCCCACCTCAGTTCCCCGGCAGAGTTTGTAAAGAAGCTACCAGGGCGGCCTGCGACTAGGACAGTGGGGAAAGCCTCTGGAAAACTGCAAGGAGATGCCTGCTCTCGTCTGTATTAGGCCCTGCCCCTGGCACCTTCTCCCCTGTCCCCGACAACAGCTGGGCTGGAAAGGTAAAGGGAAAAGAAGGGAACGAACGGTTTCCTCCATGTTCTTTTCCCTACCCCTGCGCCTATTGTTCCAGCCCCTGGGCGTCCTTTTACCTCTCCTCCCCCCACTGAGCACACATGGTGACATGTGGATATCAGCCCAGACCAACACACAGACAGCCAGTTGTACCTACCCCCGTCTGCAGCCAGGATCCAAATCACCTCTAGCAGGAGGGCGAAGAACAACATGGTATCCCCAGGAAGGGGCACAGGGAACCAGGAATTTGGGGACTAAAGGACTAAGAGAGACTGAGGAAGAGAGAGGAAAGAAGAGTTCCTGGCGTTGAGTATATTTATCTCTCTTTCTCTTGCTGTATCTGAATTTCCAGGGAATTTGATTTTCATTGGGATACCGTGAATTTCTGGGTCCCAGGAAAATCTCTTGCTGCCTCTCTCTGCTCTCTTTATCTCTTTCTGAAGTCTCCAGTCCACTTGCTGGCCAGTGTCTTCACAATTGCCTCTCGCTTTTAAGGTGGCTCTGGACTGGTGTACGTGGGGAGGGGGGGTGCCTGGACTGCAGGCGGGCAGCTCCTTAAATAGCCAATTAGGCATGCAGGATGGCCCCTGCTCAGAGCCAGAGCGCGCGAGTTTCACCGGAGCCCTGGCCCTGGCTCAGGAGCCCAGCTGGGTGAGCTCTTCTTTCCTCTGCTGTTCACGCAGATACTCCTCAGATGGGTGTCCCCTGGAGCAGGTAGGGACAAGAAAGGGGGCCTATGGGGCTCAATGCAGCCACCTCAAGAGGACACTATGTTCTCATTTGCCTGCCTGGCTTCTCCCCTGAGGAGTGGCACCCTGGGTGGTAGGGGCCAGCTGGTGGGGGGCCTATTCCCAATGCCTGGCAGTGTCTGTGCTGCCCTGGAATAGGAGTCAGAGTTAGGGGAGAAGTCAAGAAGGAAGGAGCTGGGGACTCAGGGTGCAGGTGGGGTAGGGGTGGGAAGTCAAGGTCTGAAAACCTGGGTTGTGGAGATTAAGAGAAGTAATACGAGGAGAACTTGTCGGGAGCGCTGTCTTCCTCCTGTTCCTGTCACTACCCCCTTCCCACGGTGAGGCCTGGGTCCACGTGCTTGTGTGGCTGGGGGGGGGGTGGTTTTGTTTGCTGTATAAAGCCCATTTGTGTGCCCAGTGGGGGAGGGGCTGCCACAGCACCATGGAGAGACAGCGGCTCTAACTGCCAGACACAGCCACCTCCCTCCCCAGGGAGCCCAGATCTAGGGCGGCTTTTGTCACTTAAGAGGACACTGACCCCTAGCAGAGAGGCCGGGGCTGGAGGGAGATGGGGAGACCATGGAAACAATCACCATCACAGAAAAGGCCAAGGCGGACTCCAGAGAACAAGCACGGAATGAGCAGAGAGAGTCTGAGGGGCCCAGGGTCTTCCTTCCTGCCCCAGGGGGGACGAGGCGGGACAGTGGGACTGAGAGAAACCTGGCACTGTGGAGCCGGGCCAGCGGAGCACAGAGGCGGCGCGGCTCAGGAATGTGGGCTGGTGTGTGCTCCCCCACGGGACTGGAAATCCCGATCGGAATGTACATCCTAAATCCCTCATTAGGGAATGTGAAAGCCCACGGACAATTTCAAGATCTCTCTCCTGCATACCCTTCACCGGAGTCACTAGTCCCAAGGAGGCACCCATTTGAGCTCCCTCTGTCCTCTTTGCTCCCCAAACAAAGGGAGCCGAAGCTAAATAAGGGAGCAGGATAAAAGGCAAAGGAAGGGAATAATGCATGTGCTGGGTCATCAGCTCCTGCAGCAGGCGCTAGCTGCGCCCTCCTGTCCCCTGGGATGGCTCTGCCAAACAGAGCCGTTTGTTTTCAGATGTCTTTTCCTTTTTTATTTTCTCATCTCCCTCTGAAATTATTTTTCCCTTATAGAAAACTTTTCTGTTCTGAAGTTTCCCCAAAGACTCATCTATCCATCCCATCTCTGAAGAATACAAAAGTTTAAATCCGATTTCTTCAGAATCAGAGTGGTTAATACAGAGGAAGCGCCACAACAAAAAAGCAGAAATATCGTTCACACAGCAGGAAAGAAGTCTGCATTGAATGACCTCCGCCAGGCAGTCCCCTGGAGCCTGCGGGATCGAGAGTCAGCGTCCCAAGGCAGGTAGCATCTTGACAGGCGCCACCTCCTGGCTAATCTGTGAATTTTTTAAATTTAAAGTGTTTCCAGTGGGATTCCTTCTGGGAGGAATTTCACTGTGGTGGGCTATTTTTTTTTTTCCTGTACAGTTGAACATTATTTCACAAAGATGTCTTAGCCCCAAATCAGCACTTTCCATTCCTGAGTGAGCAGCCCCTGTAGGTGCTCATGCTCCCAAACAGACGACTGCTGTTGTTCCTAGGAAAGAGGGAGAAAGGCAGTGAGCATCTTCAACTGGGGATTTGATGTTATTCTGATCTTTGGCTTTATTGTGAATACATCCATTGTTGCTTTCTAGTCTTGCTGACATGGAGTACGTGTCTAGATAACCCTAATCATGATTTTTTAAATATTTATTTTTCAGTTGTAGCTGGACACAATACATTTATTTTATTTATTTATTTTTCTGTGGTGCTGAGGATCGAACCCAGGGCCTGGCATGTGCTAGGCGAGCGCTCTACTGCTGAGCCACAATCCCAGCCCCCTAATTATTTTGTTTTAAATGAGAGTTTCTATTCAAACTCTGGCATCTTTGTTTCAGTGCTGACTTCTCCCATTCCAGTCTTTTTCTCTTCCTGGGGTTGGCTAAACTACTAAAACCAAGCCATTCCACTGCCTTCTGGCGCCATCTCCTGTCCTAGCAAATGCAGTGAAATGTGAATGTCAGAATCAAAAGTGTTCAGGTGTAGTGACTTTCTTGTTTGTCTTGTCTTAAAGGGTCTTAACCTAGGTATTTAAACTCGCTACTCTAAAACATTATAGGAACCTGTTAATTGCTCTGAGTTTGTGTGATGGGGTATATGGGAGTTAAATAAAGGAGGGAGTCGGATTTTTAAAAACCCCAAACCAAGAATGGTTACAACAGAACTGCAAGCAGTACAAGTGGTAACTAATGGCTAAGAAAGAATCAGTGAGGAGACTGAAATAGATGGAATCAGATTTTCTAGAAAAGCAAAAGCAAATTGCACCCTGAGGTAATGTAGACCTGAGATTCTAATTTGATAGGTAATCACATTTAGTATTACATGTGTGTTGTTTAACACTTTAGTACTACAGCTGCTTAAGAAAACACAAAAGTGCTCAAGAATTAATGTCAAAGTAATTAGGGAGAGGAGGGTGGTCAGAATTCCTTTGAATATTTTTTTTCAGTTTTCCAGATCACATTGCTGATAGTTACAGTATGAGAATTTGGGGGGGGGGCAGGTAGGGATCCCAGGGATTGAACTCAGGGGCACTTGGTCACTAAGCCATATCCCCAGCCCTATTTTAGTATTTTATTTAGAGACAGGGTCTCACTGAGTTGCTAAGTGCCTCACTTTTGCTGAGACTGGCTTTGAACTTGAGATCCTCCTGCCTCGGCCTCCAAGCCACTGAGATCACAGGTGTGCACCACCACACCCATGAGAATGCTTTACCACAGAACTACAGTCCCCGTCTCATGAAATAACATTCTTTTCTTTATTTCCTCCTGCTCCCTGCCCTGCCTCGTTTCTTCAGAGTTCTTTTTTGAATTTGTTTATTTTAAGTTTCTGATTTTCTGTCAGACCCCTTCTAAAATATTTGGTGATCCTTGCCTTTTCATTCATACCTAAGACTGCGGCCCTCAGGTGTTTATGATCAGGTCTGGAAGGTGTCGGTTGGTAGACTGCAAGGTGAAGGGATGACCATATCTGGCCATTTCCTACCATTCTCTTCAGAGAAGAAACCTCTAACTTTTGACCTCAAGTTACACTTTGACTATAAGATGAATGAAAGAGAGAGAAGCCTTGGCTGGGTGGAGAGGAGGCTTCTCACCTTCTCACAGAAGCTTGCAGTTCTTCTGACAGTGCTCCGTTCCACCGAGTTTAGAGTAACTCTTTGATCTCTGGGGACCAGAGTTGGGAACTGAAATTCGCTCTTTCAATAAACCTTTGACCCTATTCTGTTTTAGCTCTACCTTCACCCTCACCTCAAGAGTTCTTAGTGCCTTGGAAATGTTGTGGTTCTAGGATGTAAATCAGTTTGACTCTGAACCCCTTGTGGGGAGGTTTGGATTTTCTCCTCTCTGCTAAGATAATTACCCCTAGACTAGGGAGGGATGAAGGGGGTCCCGACAGTGGCATTCCTTTTTCTTTCAAGTCCCAAACAGGTTGAGAAATAAAGCAAAAAATAAATACGGATGTCCACATATCTACTTTTTTACTGTAGGGGCCAGATTGGAGAATGAATTTCAGTGTGACGGTAACTGCCCCTGAGAATCAGGCGGCCTGGGTGAGGGGGACGTCAGGGTAAAGGCACAGAGCAGAGTGGTGGTGGGCAGGCTTCCCCTCTCAGGAGCAAGGGGTGGAACTGATGGAACAGTCCATTTAGAGTCGATGAACAAAGCGCTGTTACACTGACTGAGCTTTTCTTCACAAAAAGGAAGACGTCAGAATCAAGAAACAACATTTCTGAATCACACTGTTTATTTGTTTCACAGATTCCAAGGTTCTGCTGGGTTCTCTCATTACTTCTCCTTCTCCCTTATATTCTTGCTGATGCAGTGTGATGACACATGATGGCGGGATCACGGTTACTACTTGTATGTGCACACGATATTACAATGTAACTGGGCCAATATCACTCTTTTCCCTGCCCTTCTCCCGCCCCCTGGTCCCTTTCCTCTCTAGTCTCCCTTTGATTTTCATGAGACTCCTTGGCTTTCTTCTTTTTACTTTCTTGCTTCCATGTATGAAGGAAAAATGTGACCCTTAACCTTCTAGTTCAGCTTATTTCACTTAACATGATGTTTTCAAGTTCCATCCATTTTCCTGCAAGTGACTCATTTCATTCTTCTTTATGTTTGACTAGAACTCCTTTGTGTATATATCCTATATTTTCTTTTTTTCTGTAGTAGTGGGTGGACAGAATGCCTTTATTTTATTTGTTTGTTTTTATGTGGTGCTGAGGATGGAACCCAGGGCCTCACACATGCTTGGCAAGTGCTCTGCCACCGAGCCCCAACCCCAGCCCTATCCTACATTTTCTTTATGCATTCATCTGTCCATGAATATCTAGCCTGCTTCCATAGTTCGGCTGTTGTGAGTTGTCTTCTCCTTGCTCAGTCTTTGTTCTTTTATATTTTTATTAATTTTTTTTTTAGTTGTAGATGGACACAATACCTTTATTTTACTCATTTATTTATTTTTATGTAGTGCTGTGGATCGAACCAGTTCTAGGCAAGTGCTCTACCACTGAGCTCTATTCCCAGTCCTCTTTTGTTCTTTTATATTTAGATCTTATTGTTTCAAAGTCATGTTAGTAAGATTTGGAAGAAATGGAGGAAAATATGTACTAAAATTTCCAGGGCACAGTGGCTCAGACCTGTGATCCCAGCAGTTCAGGAGGCTGAGGCAGAAGATCTCAAGTTCAAAGCCAGCCTCAGCAAAAGTGCTAAGCAACTCAGTGAGACCTTGTCTCTAAATAAAATCCAAAATAGGGCTGGGGGTGGGGCTCAGTGGTTAAGTGCCCCTGAGTTCAATCCCCAGCACCCTCCCC